TGATAATATTGAGTATTATTTTTAAATGTTTGCTAATGTTATGGCCAACATGTTTTTGTTGTTGCTGTTGTTGTTTATTATTGGTTAAGTTGAACATTTTCCTAATGTTTCAGCTTGAGGGGTCCTGAATTGGTTGTCTTTTGAGTGGATCTAATTTGTTGGTATTCATTAAGAATCACAGTAGCTATTTAGCTATTCCCTTTGTCCGGTAATTTACTTGTAGGGACTTTTCCTGATCTAGAGGACTATTCATAAATGTACACCTACCAAAAAGAAATGGAAGGAAAAACAACTTTAAGCATAAATATTCTTATAGGAGTCTTAGAATAATGAAAATTTAGAATCATCTAAATGTTGAACAAAGCAAAAGTGAAACTAATGTGTCTGTTATGGGATACTGTGCCACCACTATACATTTTGGACTAAATTATTTTTGTAAGATAAAGAAATTTTGATCGTGCATTTGATTTTGGATAATGCAAAGGGTTTTCAGACCTCTAAATAGTGTGTTGTAAGCAGGAGATTTAAGAATATCTTTATTGTTTTTTTTTCCCTCTCTGTCCATAAGTTTTACTGTTTTTTCAATCTTGTAAATTTAAAATGTGATTTAGGATAATAGTTGGGCCCTGGAATGCTCCAGAAATGGTATCAGAAAAGAATATGGTATCTGTCCTGTTTGAGGCCAAAGGCAGAAATGTGCTAGATGTGTATAAGAACAAACAAGGAGATGGTTAATACTTGGAGCAGTTATTATCCAGTTTGTGAATGCTGAACTCAGTTTTGTGGTGCTGAAAATGCCGTACATATTCAGTTGAAGGAATCGTAGCTGAATTGCATCAGCAGTCCTGTTTTTGTAGTATTTGCTAGATTGTTGTCTATAAAGTCTTGAAGTAAAGTATTTCATACTAAACATTTAAAATATTAAGTGTGCTTTTAAATATAAACACTTGGCTAAATATTGGTTAAGATTGTAATTTTTGGTTTTACTTCTGGCTACTTTAATATAGCTGTGGGTCTTGAATTGAGTAATTGATTGCCTGTAACTGATGGAAGTTTTGAATAAAAGCTTTTATGATTTTACAAGCTGTTTCTGAGACTTAGGAAAGTACAAAGGTATTTATTTATTTATTTTTTTAGAACTCAGTCCTTTACTATTTAAGGATGAATAGGTATGATCCCGCAGAATATACAAATAAAATGCTTTGTGATTTTAGGACGTGTTGGTTTATTTTGGATATCTTGTTTAAGAGTCCATCAGCTCCTTGAGGGCAGGACTTATTTTACACATAGTAACCTCTACCAGGCATGACATTGAGGGCTGGACCTCTTTGGTATAGTGTAAAGATTGGATGAGCGTCTCACTGTTGTTTTGTGACCTTGTTTAAGGGTAGTTGTTCTGAAAGATACCACGATGGAGGAAGTACAGTGGTAAGGTTTTTATGTGCACCCTGAAAATCGGTGATAGCTGGTATGAGTATCTGGTCTTCACCTGGGGCAGGTGAAGACTACATCATATTATAGATGTATAAACAAATCAAAATGGACCAGTTTTGCAAAGCTATGGTGAGTCCATTAATGAAAGTGGTGGCATTTTCTTTAATTTTGTTCTCTGGCATGCAGGTTTTTTTAAGGTGTTTTGAAAGTGAATACTGAAGTTTTCAAGCAGGGAATGTCTTAATGTTTGTTTGTTTGTTCAGTGGAGTATAATTGCTTTACAGGGTTGTGTTAGTTTCTGAAATGTTGTCTAATTTCCTGTTCTTTTAAGGTGACCTTTTGATGTTAGAATTTAAACAGACCAGTTTCATACGAAAGCATATTCTAGAATTAAATGTCTTTGAAAGTGGATAAACTCAGGTCTTTACAAGAGTCTGTGTAATTTTATTGCTACTGTGACTGAAACTTTTAATGCAGGATTGCATTGACTTTGCTGGGTTTTTTTTTTTTTCTTTTCTTTTCAAGGACACATTTGTTTGTATGTTTCTCTTCACTGAAAAACTGTCAATTCTGCAAGGCTTGGGACAACTTTATTTCGTCTATCTATTCCTAGCTCTTAGCACAGTGCTTTTGTCCATCCTAGGGATATACTTGGTATAAGGGAAAACAATAATGTTCTTTCTCTCCAGGAATATAAGAGCTACAGCTGAAGTAGGACTAGAGCTAGAATAACCCTTTTGAAATTTGAACAATTTACCCTTTTCCCTTTAAAAAAAAATTTGGTTCTGTAACTTTTGGTTACAGAAACTTATCTGGTACCGCGATCAATGTAATAAACGCATTCATAGCAATTTGAACAGATAAGAACTTTCCTGTTCTTCACGTTTAGTGTTTCTTGTTGACTTTAAAAAATATACCCACCAATAATATGTATTTATTATGGGAATTTTTATAGATAATAATCTATATCATTTTGACTTGTGTTTTTCTTTGCCCTGGAATACATTAGGTGATGCAGAAGCACCCATGATCACTGCTTTAAGTTGGGACATCTTGGTGACCTTTGCTTATCGGAACCAGGCCTTGTTGAAAATTTTTACATAGGTACTTCAGTGCCATTATTCATTATTTGAATATTGGATTGAATGATATATTAGAGAAAAAGAATACTTACTCTGTTTTCTTTACCAGTCTTGTACTAGAATTCCACTTAACCAATCTCATTTTGGGAAATCCTCTTCATCAAGCAGTGACTCATTGTTCCCCTGACAAACAGATACCTGTGATTGGTCAAGTTGTGATTTAATTTCTTATAAGGATAAAATGGGTGGTGTGGTTTTATTTTTTAAATCATTCAGTCAGCAGGCTTTCAGAATTGACTATTGAGTACCTACTACATGTGCCGAGCACATTATTACACATTACTGTGGGTCAGGATAGAATTGAGCAAGATGTCCTCCAGAGCACAGATCACCTGCTGTGCCACAGGGACATCTAGACAAGGAGTCTTGAGCCACGATTATAGGAGTATTTACCTATATCATTCTGTTGAGTGTGATGCATATGTGTATCACATTCAGGTGATTAATTATAGTATTTGAGTTAAATCGGGGCGGGGGTGAGGTGCATTTTTCTTCACATGAAGGTGGTCATTACTTTTCCTCCATGGTTTCTCATCTCAGTAAATGAAGTACTACTCATGCAGATGTCCTAAAAGATTCTTCCCTTTTCCTGAACTCTGTGTCCAGTCAATCACCCTTGAGTCTGCTTCCTAAATATCTTTCGAATCCTAGTATTTCTCTTCAGCTCTAATGCCACAGTCCAGGTTTTTAGGTTACTCCAGCACCCTCCTAACTTGGCTACCTTTCCTTCTAGTCTGTTCTTCGTATTAGAATTCTGGATGATCTTTTTAAAATGTAAATGTGGTCATTCCCCCTCCCTGCTTAAAACCTGTTAGGGCATTAATTTTCTCTTAAGTGATGGTTTCAAGGCCCCTCTCAAGCCTTGCGTCATGTTTTCTTTCTTTTTCTTCCCCCAGCCCTTCCCCCGACTCTTGCTGCTCACTGGATTGCTTCTGTTCCTTGCTTCCTCCCCACATACTCATGTTCTCATTCTCCTCCCATCTGTCCTTTAGGCCTACTGTCGGGCTCTGAACAGGAAAAGTTTGCTGACCTTTTCTTTAAATCCTTTCTGTGACATGAGAACGGATAAATATAATTAGGACATATTTAAGTTATGCCTCAGTTTCCTTCTTTCCCTCCTTCTGAGAATATCATTTGAGTTTTCAGAACTGTACTCTAGTACTGGAGATGTATTCCCAGGCTACTAAGCTTGGTTAGGGCTTCCTCTGTGTATTTCCAAGGGGGAATTGTTATTACCTCCTTGTTTGTCTTTCTTTTTTTCTGAGATAAGCTCGATGAGTGTTTAGTCACCAGGTTTTCCATAATTTACAGCAGTAGCAGTTCCTGTCACATAGTAGCCTGCTCAAGTGCTTATTAATCTGTGATTTTTAAATATACTCTTAACCCTGCATCGTAAGAGATTCATGATACGGCAGAACAATCAGCATAGGCCAATGATTAGTTACCCTTTTATACTGAATAGATGTCAGTATATCCTTCTTTTAAACAAGGGAGCAAGAAGCTATAGTCTGTGGGCCAAATCTGGCCCACTAACCTTTTATAAGGACCACAAACTAAAAAAGGTTTTTAAACTTTTTAAGTGCTGAAAAAGAAATCAAAAGAAAAATATTTTATGACACAACGTCACATGAAATTCAAATTTTAGTGTTGCTAAATTAAGTTTTATTGGAACATGGTTTCTGCTTTTGCACTGCAACTGCAGATTGAGTAGTTGTAACAGTGACTATATGACTGCCAAAGCCTAACACATTTACTGTTGGGCTCTGTACAGGAAAAGTTTGCTGACCTTTTCTTTAAATCCCTTCTGTGACATGAGAACGGATAAATATAATTAGGACATATTTAAGTAATGTCTCAGTTTCCTTCTTTCCCTCCTTCTGAGAATATCATTTGAGTTTTCAGAACTGTACTCTAACCTCTCTGCCTCATACATTCCTAGAGCTTTTTGAAACTTGAACATTGCAGATTAGATGTTGAGAAGTTAGAGACTTCAAATTCTACTGAATTACGTAGACAAAACCAGCATGGATGGCTCATCCCTCTTCCAGTAGTCTAAAATCAGTCTTTTCCTAAATAATATTCTGATTCTTAAAATACACTGTTTTTTTACAGTTAAGGAGAAAAAAGGAGTGACTTTTTATGCTATTTGATATAATCATTAAAATATGATGCCAAAGGCCCTTTTGTAAATTTTGAATCATTTTTGCCAATATGTTGCAGAAAAAGAGACCCAGCCGTGTTTTGGTTGTATAATCTATTACTAATTATTGGAAGTAACTTTATTTGTTAGGGTTTATTAATAGGCAATATCTAACCTTCATTTTACATTATTTAATAAAATCAAATGGTTTTTACAACATTGTTTACATTTTGTTTAAAATATTTTATTGAGAAAATACTTAATTAACTTTGTTTTATTTTTAGGGTTATATCCTGTGTTGTGACCTCATGGTTTAAGTGGGAATAAAGATGAGTATAAGCAGTGATGAGGTCAACTTCTTGGTATATAGATACTTGCAAGAGTCAGGTGAGTACTTTCATAAAGTAAATAGGCCTCAAATTATTTTAATATTCTCAAAATAACTTTTTATGCATTTGAAATTTGTACCAGTCCAAACTGTTGAACTTTGTATGTTTCCTTAATGTCTGGACTGCCATTTTAAAGCTATGTGTTACTGCATGGTTTAACTCTCTGACTCTTTCAAATATGTTGGAATCATCTCAGGCAAATATTTGTAACAAGTGGTTTGGCTTTCACTGTTCAAAGACCATTTTTATAATTTGTAATGAAGTGAGATTATTGCACACGGTTGGTAGGAACATACAAATTCTCAGATACCATCAATTTGATAATGTATATTCAGAATCCTCAGCTTAATGTTCCTGGTCCTGATTGCAGTTAGCATTTCCAAAGGTAAATTAGCCATATTTTTTCGTAGTGCTTTCATAAATGTCATCCCAATTGATTAAATGTGTCTTTGACCTGAATTTTACTAATGTATTTCATTGGGGGGTGATTAGTAAATATAAATCATTGAAGGTCATTTGTAATCAGTATTAAGTCAGTGATCTCCCAGTTTTCTAGATAGATTAAAAGGTGTTGTCATAAAACAGAAGGAAAACTACAAGGGAACATGTGGGATGGATTAGGGGGAAAAAAATGTAAAAGAAGAGGGAAAAACTTGGGTTGGATGGGACATAGGCTGGTGGGAAAGATGGACTGCAGTGGTAAGTTAGGTTGTTAACATGAGATTGAATCATTTGGTGGTTAAAAAAATGCTGGAGAGGTTGAATTTTAGAAATGATAGTTTAAAGTTATTTAGATGTTTAGGAAGGTACGGTTTGGTATAAAAAGATAATTTTGATAGTCACTTTTGCGAGGGGATGGAAGGAATAGAGTAGAATGTTGAGCCTTCAATTTTGGTTTGAAACTCTACTTATTTTTCTTATAGGGCTTAGTTAGTTGTTCTTTCTTAGGCAGGGAATGTAAACAAGGCCTTAGATCTTAGATTCTGCTTGTTGAGATGTTCGCAGCTGCACTCCAGTTCTGAGCTTTCTCTTGGGCATGGGATTTTCTGTTCCCAAGCACCATCACTTCTCCTCCCTGGCTTGTAACAGCTGAGAAAATTATGTCCAACAGTGGCAGGGAGGGAAAAAGGGAGAAGAAAGTAAAGTAACCAAGAATGCAGAATGACTTGCTATGAAGCTTTGAAATTAATAGATCTTGTTTTGTTTTGTTTTATTTTCAATTGGTATACTGGTATTGAAGGCATATCCAAGGAGGACATCCATAGAATATTTTGCATAAGATATAATGACTAATAAAATGGAAAAGGTAGCGATTTAATGACTGTTACATATGTAACATTTATGTTTGGATATTGTTATATAGTACTTTGGACCATTTGGAAAGAATTTGTTGGGTCAAAACGAACTCTGGTTTTTCTGCCTTTGAATCTGACCACCAGTTAAGCTAGAGCTTTGAGGCCTTAGACACTAAAACAAAAAACAGTGTGAAACATTAGTGCATGGGAAGTGTATTGTAATGGCTTGTAGATGTGTTGCAAAGGCAGCTATTTAGGTTCAACCATATGAAACTACTGTTTCTGGAGATGAGAAGCAGTTGTAATGCTCGGCAGCATCCTGTGGTTCAGCCTACGCTGAGGTGAAATAGGGGAAGGTGAAGTTAGAGATATGAATGAACGCTCAAATCTTATTTCCAAACAGAAACCCACAGATTGATGTTTTATGTCGCTATAAGAAAATACAGCAAGTGAAAGGGACAGTAAAATAATACTCTGGATTACTTTCTGAAAGAGTGTCCAGTGATTAAATATTATCAAAAGTCTTAAAGTTGCTTATGTTCTCAGAGGAAATGCTTCTAAATTTCATGTTTTAAGGTATTTTATATTGCAGTAAACATAAAGCAAGAATAATATTTTTTCACAAAAAACTTTGTATGGTAGACTGATATTTATCGTATTAAGTCTGTGTAAGTGTTAACTGTGTTCCTAGTTGTGCTTTGTGTATTCTTTAGAAAACTTTATACTTTACAGTCGTACTGGTGATAAAGTATGATGTTAAGCCACATCTCTAAAAATGTGAACACCAGTCCCTTTATAAAATTGGTAACTTCCCGTTTACATTATGTTTTATAGGGGAAAATCAGGCTACACTGATGACATTTTTTTTAATACAGAAGTGACTTTATTATGGGTTTACATTGTAAAATAAAATTGTCTTCCAGAAAATTAAAATATAAAACAACTTGATAATAGTACATGGTTGCTAATTACTTACAAACTCACTTTAAAAACTCAAAATCGAAGATTGTGCCATTTTTCCCTAAATCTAATTCTAGATCTTGAAATCTTTGATTATGTTGAAATTGTTTTCTCCTGCATGAACTATTGACACAAAGTTTTCTCATTCAAATGTAGTTTGTTCAGGAAAGGTCACAACATAAATTTGCTTTATAAGTTTGAATATATAGTACACACATTTGAAAAGTACATGTTTGTTATTCTCAACACTCAGAACTTAGTATTAGGCAGTGGTTTCCATCATATTTGCCCTGGCAGTTGTTTCTTAAAAGTCTTTAATTTTTTTGTTTTCTCCACACAGAGGGAGAAATGACACCCCTACCCCCTCATATCTGCTTCAGAAAGACTCTGAAACTACAACAACCAAAATGATAAAACTACTGAGGAAAAAAGCCCACTCAAATTGATAGGTCCCAAATTCCTTAACTCAGCTATTTCAGACTAATTTTAGGTGTGAATAGCTCATAAGTGGTATTCTTTCATGCCAAATATGTCCGATTTATGATTTTTTAAAACGTAATTGCTGTAAACGTGGGCAGTACGCAGCCTTCGTATCGGTTCTGATAGGAATAATTGAGTAAATTTCCCACTTTGCCTTATTAAATTACACATTATCTTATACTGCGTAATGTGGTGAATCTGGTGCTCATTTGAAAAGGAAGGAGGTACTTTTCAGACAAGCTTTTGTTTTGAAGACTGCTGGGGAACGGAATGACTAGTCAGCGTAGTGGTACTTCCAGTTTCCTTTTCTGGCCCCGCCACAGAAAGGATGGACGCAGTAAGAAGGTCAGAGATGGAGGGTGTGTTCCAGGGAGAGGGAAGGGGACCTGGTAGCACTGATGACATTTTGACTTTGCTCCACTGGTGGGTTGACATGCTCCAGGTGGTTCTTAGGCACGAATAAGTTTGAAAGCCACTGGTCTGTGTTAGTTGTAGGACAGTTAGAACTTGACAAGAAAGTGTTGCATGTCCACAATATCTTGAAAGAAAAATTATATTTAGTAAGTATTTGAGCTAAAGTAGAAAGCCTGAAATGTACATACTGAGGTTTGGGGTGTGAGAATATCTCCTAAAGAAGGAGCTGCCCCTAAAGTGGTGTATTTTTATTTGTAGGCAAGGTTTAGCAAGAATGATGAGGCATGTTTATGACATAAAGGATACCATGAGACATTCATTTGAAATTAATTCCAGAGATAAAGAGATAGGAAAGAGTTTAAGAAACATCCGTCAACTCAGGACAGGTTTCACATAGAGCTTGGAATCTAACCCATCTTAACACTTGCCACTTATGATTCTGATCTCTAATTATACACAAAAATGGCCACTTTTGTAGTGGGTTGTAGTTTTTGGAATCACCTAGTCCAGTAATTCCTTCTCTGCCTTGTTTTGGGGATTCAGTATTTATTTATCACTGTAACTTACAAGAATTTCACACTCTTGTGGAGAATTAGTTGTTAAATAGCTAAGAAAAAATGATGTAAATTACTTTCAGGCCATAGTTATTTTGCTTGAAAGATTTAAAACAATGCAGAAGGAAGAATCTTAATATTGCTACCTTCCCTCTAAAAGAGTACTGAATCGGATTAGGAGATAGGAAGAAAAGAAGTATTTACAGCAAAGAAAGTATCTGTGCCAAGACATTCAAAGGGCTGGTTTGTAAAGACCTGCCACAGAGGAAAATAAAATTTCCTTCCTGCTTGTCTCATTATCTGAAAAGTTCTCAGAAAGTCTAAAAACACCTTATGAAAGTCTTGTTCTTTTTTGATAAATGTGTGATTTAGAAATAATGTTTTCAGTAAGAGCTTCTCATATTCTCTGCAGTGTTTAATGTTGACTGGACTGTGGTATCCATCTCCAGAGGAAATAAAATCACTTAAATTGTTTTAATCTTAAATATACTGTGTGCTAAATCTTCTATTACGAATATTATCAGCACTAGAAAATATTACCTGTTAAAAGTACCCCCCCCCCGCCCCCAGATACATAACTTCTCAGAGCTCCCCATTTTCTCATTCATAAAATTTGTTGGAAAGGGACTATAGTGTGATAGCCTCAGATGTTTTATAAACTTCTGTTTGAAATAAACCATCCTTCCCTATTCATTAAAATTAAGTAAGAGGAAAGTTTATTTATTGTGGGATGGTTTTACTGTGTTGGAACTTTTGTCTTTCTTATTTTGATCTCTAGAAAGTTCACCCTAAACATATTACTTTGGTCATCATCATTTTGCACGATTATGAACTAGACTTTTCATATTTAACACATTTCCTGGGGAATAAAATTTGTTATTCTTTTTTTCTTTTGAGATGACTTGGAAATTGAGTGTATTAGACATGTAGTACTGTAAGTAATGATGGATTTGATTCAGTATGCTCCCTTTAATTAGCATTCACCCAAGGCCATTAATAATTTGATTGCCCTAACAACTCCTATCTAGCAACCATATGCAGAATAAGTACTAAGTGGTACATACTATAGTTAGTTGTATATAACAGAACCTGATGCAGTGTTAATTTTAGAAGAGCTAAGCTGGTTTGCATCTGTTAAATTTTCCTTCCCCCCCCCCATCTGCTCCCCCTTTGTATCACTTGACTCTCCTGTAGTTATTCAGAGGGTTTTTTTTTTCTAAAGAAATTGTTCCTGGCAATTATTTGTGAACTTTGTGGCGCCCGTCTTTCTTGTTTCTTTGTTTAAGACGAAATTT